TTAAAAGCGGTTTTAAAATAACCTATAAGTGAAAATATTAATATTATTATGTTATAAACTTTTAGTGATATATTAGTGAGTTATTTATTTTATTATTTTTTTATTTTACTTATTTGTTTGGTTGATTATTTATTTTTATTATTATCATTATTATTATTATTTATCAATGACCAACAAAAAGTAGTAATTGTAGTCAGTAGTATTTTTTTTTATTTTCACAAGTGTAGAAATAGTTGAGAGTGTATATGTTTGACTGGACACAAACGACAAAAAGCGCTCTTTTTCAAGCTTAATATAAGAAACGCGAAGAATCTAAAGAAAAGTTCGCGTTCTTGAACATTTACATCAAAAAAATCAAACACCTTGCACCTCTTCTCCGCTCAAATTAACAATAAATTGGTTACTCACAGACCAAAACATTCTAAAACATTGTTAAATGAGTAAACTGAACGTATTAATTGTGCTGCTAGCAGTGTTTGTGTTGGCGATATCTCCCATTTTCACAAGTGGCACATTGGTACCTTTTGATTCATGCGCGAGTTCTGATGCGACATATAATGTCTCGAAAGTGGACTCTGTGTTTGATCCGTCGTCGAATACTTTGAATTTTACTATAACGGGATATTCGTCAACAAAAATAGCTGGGTATAATTCACAGTTTAATGGTAGGAAGATTGCGTTAATTTCGTAATTAATTGACACGAACATAATCCATTCTAATTCTCATCATCTATTGTATAGCAACTGCGTTTATCACCACTAGCGTGTTGAATACAAAGATAAATAATATTAAAGAGAATTTATGTGCTTCCATCGATGGTAATTGTCCTTTTGGTCCAGGTCTTGTTGTCATTAGAAAGGTAATTCTGGTTTTGTCAAAATTCGATAACAAATTTAAGCAACTTTATTAAATTGTAAATTATTTTCAAAAATAGTCTATCCAACTTGGCCAACAAATACCACTATCAACGTTGACCACAACTTTCAAAGCCTTAGATGAAAACATAGGACAAGTGACGTGCCTAACATTTGATATTAGTCCACAATATCAATATTTCCGGCCTATTTTCACTTATATACCAGTATCAATTACTGCATTCACTTTATTCGTGAATGTTCTTGCCAGTTTTTTCAATCCAACAAAATTCTCCACGAATATTTTCGAAATCTCCAGTTATTATGGACTAGATCCACAAGGGTATCGATTGAGAGCTCCGTCGGTATTTGATGTGATATTTTATACGCAATTTGCCGTCTCAACAGCTGAATTAGGATTGAATTATCCCGGTTATTATCAACCTTTTATGAGTCATTTTGGATGGGCGAGTCTTGTATTTAATCATTCAACTTTAATCAACTTTTCTAATGGTGCCAGACCATTTCTCGATGACAATGCTGAACCAATGTTTGTCGATGATGCTTTATTGTCTAATGCAACAAATAACCTCACGGCAACTCCAACTCCAAAGAATCAGAAAAGAAATATGATTTTTCATGATATTAAAAAAAGACAAGGAAACCCTCAATGTTCTTCTTCGAATCCTTGTCCTTCTGGCCAATGTTGTAGGTAGGTAAATTTCGCTCTAGCATTGAAATTATCGATGATTTTGATTTTGTTTAAAAGAATTAATTTATTTTTTAAAGTCCGGCTGGCTTTTGTGGAACAGGACCTTCATATTGTGATAATACGGTAACAACAGTTACGTCAACTAGAACATATTTGCCCACCGCAACAGATAGCACATCACCATCTGCTACATATCTTCCCGATAATTTTAAAGTTTATGATAATACTTCTTCAATAATGGAAAAATTTAAGGGAATGGGAAATTATGCGGTAATGGTTGGCATTGCACCTCAAGATATTTTCCTGGAGACTATAATACTTGCATTGATTATTATTGCCATAGTGGCATTAATATCTGCAATTATATGGGGCATATGGGGATTAATGAAAAATAAATCTCAAAATAAACCGCTTGGTAGTTCAGATCAAGATCAAGGATTGTCGTTTCTACTAGGTAATATATTTTTTAAATGAATTAATAAGACGATAAATTCTAATTCAATTGTTCTGCTTTTTTATCAGGAAATATGCTACGATTCTTTCTTCTATTCTATTTCCCAATGTTATCGACTGCATTCTATCAACTTATCATCTACCAATATGTTCCGTGGTATGCTATAGCGATAGCAGCGGTGGTCATTATCGCATGTGTCGTCGTGCCAATTGTCGTCACGGTCCTTATATATCGAGTATCACCACCCGTGTATCTGCTGAATGACCTGTCATATCGACTGAAATACGGACCACTTTATAACACCCTTAAAGAACGTGGGCCAATGTTTTTCATAATCTTTTTAATTTATAATTTCATACGTGGTGTGATAGTTGGTGCTGGACAAGAAAGTGGACTTACACAAGCGGTTGTATTAATGATCCTTGAACTTACACTAGTAATAATTTTGATTTCAAGGCTTCCCTTCTTGGAAGGAACTCGAAACAATCAAATTAATGTCATACTTGGGATTATTCGAACATTTATCTCGGGATTCTTGTTGCTCTTTATCGGTTCGTTGGGTATTAGTGGAGTGAGTCAACAAATTGTCGGGTATATCATTATATTCTTTCATGGTCTCGCGTATACCATCTTCACTTTATATACGATGAAAAATTTGTTTGGGTTGATATTCCGATGGTGTGGGTTTGATGGTAATTCATTAAGCGACAGCAATGATAACAATAGAAGTAGTACATTACGAGGTAGTATCGGAGCAGCAGGAGGAATAAGAGAATTAAAATCAAGGATGGGATTTTATAATAATAGCAATTATTATTCTGAACGTGATAATGGAAATGGACCCAATAAAGAATCAATAAATGGTGGATCAATATTGAAGGCCTATCGCGGATCATACATGCCACCTGCAACAACTGGTGGTACCGGAGCTGCAAGACTTGATAGTTTCCCAAGTGTAAATGATGATTATGAAAATTATACCGATGAAAGCAGCGGAACACCAACAGGGACATCTTACGCTGATCCAAATCTGCTAATATCAGCTTATCCAGGTGGGGGAGATCAATATCGGCAACCGCCATCACGAACAACAGTAATTCGAAATGTAAATACTGCAAGAGCTCAAGGAAGTATTGGTTCTTCATTAGGATTCGAAGAAAGAGGATACACATCATCAGATCCTAATATTTCATTAGCATATCGTGATGCAACAAATCCATACCTAAATAATATGAATAGTGATCCAATTCAAGCACCTTCAACAGTATTCATAAATCCATCCCCAACAAAAACACGCGCAGACAATAATTCAATAAAAGGATACACGAAATCAACCAGGGAATCAAAACAGCAAGTAATTCTAAAAAATCGACGATCATCATCACCAATAACATCACCATTTGCTAATAAAAATAAAAATGATGTTAATAATAGTGACGATGATCTTTTCCATGCAAGAAATGATTCCGCTGGTTCGGGTCAACTCGGTGGGCCAAGTACTAATAATACTAGCATTAATAGTAGTAATTATGATCAATTAAGAGCAGGAATGACACCGTCGCCAGCGGAACCACCACAAAGATTTCTGGGTAACATACCAGAAACTAGGCTTGGTAATGAATCAGGAGCAAGAGTAGCAGCATTTGGGCGCAATAATACAGGAACAATTAATCCACTAGAAATAGGACAAAATAAACAAAAAGAACGTAATTATAATGATTATGGTGACGATGATGATGATGATGGAGCAAGTGATGAATCATCGAACAATCTTGGAGGATTCTTATTTTCTGGTGTGAGAAAACTATTTAAAAAGAATAAAAAGAAGAAAGGACCAAAAGATACACCCTCTTTCTGGGTAAAAAGAACAGGAACTGCCAGAACTACTGCTTCAATAACGGACAGTGAACTGGAAAGAGCGGTGCAGGCAACACAAGGGCGTGGTAAATTAATAGTGTTAAATCCAGATCCAGCTGGACACAGCGAATTTGGTGATAGTGTTGTCGATCTTACTACCAGTTCCATGGTAGGAGGAGCTACTAGCGGTGATGGTGGAAATGCAAGTAATATTATAAATCCCGTTGCCACCACCACAACTAATACCAATAATATCAATGATCAAATAACGACCACATCAACATCACTATCAGAATCGAGAAATCTGACTGGATTTGGGGCTGGTAACATTTCATCATCGTTAACACCACTTCAAATACAACAAATATCACAGCAACGAATAAGCGAAGAAGATGAAGAATCGAAAAGTAGTGTTTACTCGATATTTGAAGGAAGTGAAAATGGTAGCGATAAATTTGCGAAGCAGTTAGCTCGCGATTCAACAACAGATATTGAAGAATCTGGTGGCGTTGATGGTGGTAGTATTGAAGGCAATGATGACGGTAGTCCATTAGTAATAAATCCACCGCCCGTTGGCGATAACAATAACACTAATATTAACAATAGTTATATTAATAATCGAGGTGGAAGTAGTCCGATGGATTTAGTATTGCGGAAACTTAGGGACTCGAAGGAGTCTGATGATTAATGGGGAAAAGGGGTAATCAAGTATTTTATATATATATAAGTATATACACACAAAATATTATCTTGCTTTGTTTTGTTTTATTTTATTTTATT